CGATGGGCGGCAGTTAACGGCGAGCCGTTTTTTTGTGATTTAGAAAAACAAAAAACGACACGCAGTTTTGATAGAGTGAGAGAGATGTCATTTTGCGGAATTTACCGATATAGGTCTGGATTGGACGGAGTTGAGGGTATTATGGTCTTTTCGTGATTGGGAACGGGAATATCCGTTCCGTTTCCTTCGCCTACGATCTGTGTGTGTGGGTGACATGTACGTCGTCCGGATAATCAAGTCACCAGGTTGTCAATTGAAATAAAAAAGAATTCGAGAATAATGTAATGATTTATCATATAATTAGTCGCTCCCTAAGCAGTTTTCAAATATTATAAGAAGACCATACCCAAACCAAAATGAATTTCTATCAATTCATCTAACCCGGTTTTATCTTGGGTTTCTATTTTTTTTAATAAAAGTATTTAGTTTATATTTTTTTTTTTTATAAAAATGGAAACAAAACAAAATTAACAAATAATATATATTCCAAACACAACGGAAATTCCTTGAGAAAAATATAATAAATTGAATATAAATGTAATTGTAACCGATTCAGCTAATCCGGTTTTAGCTCTTTATTTTATTCGAACTGAATTAGTGTAAACGACGAAGGAAACCTCTTGCAACGTGCGATGAAATTGCATTTGTGGCTAATATTTCTACCACTAGAACTGGATCTTATTTGGACAGTTCATTTTCTATATAAGCATATTCCGTTCCTGTCCCTTTCATCATCATCATCATCATCATCATCATCATCATCATCATCATCATCATCATCATCATCATCATCATCATTATTAGTGCAGTGACAAATTTGAAAACCACAACTTTCAGACATAAAGGCGGTTATTACTTTTTGAAATTTCGAATTTCTAATATAGATTTTTTTTTATCATGAATCGTTATGAGGGCATGCGCTTAATGTCTATATATCTATTTTGGGGTTGTGAAAGAATAATTTATTAATTAAGAAGAATTATACCATGCGCTTTCATAAGATTTGGGCCTAAACCAAAGTCCAAAGAGATGTTCAGCAATGAAGCCCATTGGACTTTGGAAGCCCAACCAATTATGACGTTAGAGTCCAAGTGAAACACAAGAGGAGCTAAGATTCAGTGCGAGCAAGAGTACGGGAAGTTATCTGGGTCCTCTCCGAAATTCCGCCGTTTCACTAGAAAAGGCAAAATCGCGACGATCGGCGGAGACAGAGAAGGGCGCGATCGATCACTGGCCGGAGAGTGTGTGTTCGTGGTCTGGTTCCCCCGGTGTCCGCGCGTTGTACATCCTGTTCGATTCTCGGCATTGTCAGTTTTGTTTCTCCTCTCTGTAAGAAAACTTGCATTTCTAGGGTTCAGTAGTCTGCTTCTCCGTTTCGATTTCGATTTGCATTGTCTTTGCTTGAATTCGGTTGAAATGTTTCAATTTCTCTGGTTCCAGGACTCTTACTGGTTAACGAGAGATGGATTTGGCTTCCCGTTACAAGGTGAATTGTTCTGTTTATGTTTTCTATGTCGGCCTTGACGCAGCTCATAGTTTACCAGATTAGCTTTCGATCCATTTTTTTTGGTCTAAACGCATTTTGACCGGTCTGATGCAGCACATAATTTGGGGATGCCAAGAATCTAGTCTATTGTGCATCGTATTCGGTAGTAATATTGATATGCATCTGAGTTTCCTATCTCGGAGGGGAAAATGGTGACCATCAGTGTGTAACATAAAGAATGCAGAGAACTTCATACAGTGTTCTGATTCTTATACATATTAATGTTGCTTTAACTGCTGGATTTCCAGATTCATGATTTATCATGTTATAATATTGATTTTAACTTATTCTGGAAACGTGTGCAGGGGGTTGTAGGGCAGTTCTTCAGCAACGATAATCCATCCTCTAATGAGGACGGGTACATTTCCTTTTTCTTTTATTAACTAGAGTCTGTAATTCCTGAAACCTACTATGTTTATAATAGATTTGTTAGTTAGTTTCAAGGAGTTGTATAAATGAGGATAATGCTGTTGGTTTGTTATATTTGTGTAGTTACATTCAACGCGTGCTTGATCGTGTGAGTAATGGTACCTTACCAGAGGATAGGAGGACTGCTATTACAGAACTTATGTCTGTTGTAGCAGAAAGCCATGCTGCTCAATTAGCTTTTGGAGCTTCTGGTATGGATTTTTTTCTTGTTTGTCAGACTTACTTTTGATTGATTGGTTCAGGCGCCTTAAGTGTGATCCTTGGCATTCTCTCATTTCAGGTTTTCCAGTGATACTGGGCATCTTAAAGGAAGAACGAGATGATGTTGAAATGGTGCTGTTTCTTCCTTTTCATATGTTTCCTATCATTTATTTGCTTTAAATCTGCATGCCGTTGTGTCTATTTTTTTAAGGCTAACATGCCCTGTATTCTTGCTCTCTTCTGGGACGCAAAGAGGAACACAAATGGATTTATTTAATCTCATATATTAGGAGCCTGGTCGTTGGCATATTTCTTAAATTTTTTCTACAGCTAGAAAGGGTCTGACAAATATTGAAAAAGGGGATAACGTCTTTCTTATATGGATTTTGATTATGCACGAAAATTTATACCTGAACTGATATGCCTTGTTTGTTTCTTGTTACTTTAACTTGGTTTATGCTTCTTGCTGATCTCAAGTTACTCTTCATGCCTTTTTTTGTGATGTTCTTGCACTTGTATTCTTTCTGTTTTTCTAGGTTCGAGGTGCACTAGAAACTCTAGTTAGTGCTCTCACTCCAATTGATCATGTTAAGGCTCAGAAGACTGAAGTTCATCCAGCTCTCATGAACTCTGATTTGCTTTCCCGAGAAGCTGAAAACATCACCCTTCTCTTGAGCTTGCTGGTTAGAGTTAGATTGGATGTTAAAATTTTGTGTTCTGTTACTTTATCAATTGGTTGTGCATGTATTAAAATTTGTTGTCGGGGTGATTGGACAGGAAGAAGAAGACTTCTATGTCCGATATCACACGCTTCAGATTTTGACTGCTCTTCTTATGAACTCTCCAAACAGGTAGAAATGTTTATCGGCTACAATCTCTATTATATGTGTCCTTTGTTCTTCTTCCAGTTGTGCTACAGACACATTACTGACTATCTCTTCAGGTTACAGGAAGCTATTTTGACCATCCCGCGTGGTATAACTCTTCTTATGGATATGCTTATGGACAGGGAGGTACACCTTTTTGTACACTTTGAGATGTTTGATATTGTTATAAATCTGCCTAAGAGAGTACGGTGTATCTAGCCTCAATTATCCCTCATTGGTAACTATGAGAAATGATGAGGATCGCATTTACATGTTTTGGTCTTATTCTACAAAATCTGTGGTGTCTGCAATCCAGGTAATCCGGAATGAGGCTTTGTTGCTTCTGAGTCACTTGACACGTGAAGCAGAGGTGGGACCCCCTGCTTGTTTTTATACCTAAGTCTTTTTTGGTAGGTTATAGCTGGACAAAGCACGGGCTTGACTTCTCTTGCTTTGTAGGAGATCCAAAAAATTATTGTCTTCGAAGGTGCATTTGAAAAGTTATTTAGTATTATCAGAGAGGAAGGAGGTTCAGATGGTGGCGTTGTCGTGCAGGTGACCGCATAGCACCTCTGTTAACTTATTATCATAACAGTAGTCCGTCAATCCTCTAATCCTCTGGCACATGACAAAGCAAACTAGGATGCTGTTTGTTTGATAAAGATAAATAAGCACTTACATCTCTATATGTCTTAGACTTCCTGCAATTTGTTGAGAGGACTTCTGGCATTTCAGTAGGAGCATGGGCCAGCTCATACTTTTGTTTGATTTTCCCTCCTATCTGCGATAACACTAATGTGTACCTTTCTTCCCAGGATTGTCTAGAGTTATTGAATAATCTTCTGCGCAACAATTCATCAAACCAGGTTTCTGACTTCTGTGTCTGTCGAAATTCTCTTCTTTTTTTTTTCATTTGTTAGATCAAGCCGTATGCTGATATTTTAAGTTTTGTTTCAGATATTACTAAGGGAGACCACTGGTTTTGACCCCATCGTTTCAATTCTGAAACTGCGTGGAATTACATATAAGTTCACCCAGCAAAAGGTCAGATATATATGCTTCTTGCTTGACATGTTTTAATGTATTCTCTCTTGCAATTTTGATGATCTGTATCCTTCTGAATGAACAAAATCCCAGTAGACTGTTAATCTACTCAGTGCACTGGAGACATTTAGATTACTGATTATGGGAGGTTCAGATACTGACCCTGGAAAAGATGCGAACAAGCTGACAAACAGAACAGTTTTAGTTCAGGTTTGTTAATGATATGTGAAAGCTGAGATTATCTGTTTCATAATGGACATTATATTATTTTTCATTCTTTTAATGTTGATTTTTTTTGCAGAAAAAATTGTTGGACCACCTACTTATGTTGGGTGTTGAAAGCCAATGGGCTCCAGTTGCTGTTCGTTGCATGGTAAGGCGGCTCTCTTACCAAGTTCTTTTCCTCAGTTTTCTTTTCTCTTATTATAATTTTTCATATCTCATAATCATGTCAAGATCCCTTTTGCGGTTTGCATTTTTCACGTGGGGAATATCCAGCCTGCCAGAGTTCTAAAGCACGTTACATATTAGACGGAACAGAAGCTCGATTCCTGCCTAGAGCCTATAGCACCTCTTTTCTCTTTAATCTTTTCAATTAAAGCCTAGATTGTCATAGTTTCTGGGTGAGAGAACACCCAAAAAGGACCAAGTATCTGAGTTGGGTGCCTAAGACAAGTTGCTAGCCTATTACCTCTGTATCAGGCACCCATCTGACTTTTCCTTCCAACTAGGGGAAATCATGGCTGTCCACAGTACCTGCTTACATAGTATTGCAACCATTTGCATTCTGATGTAGCGATTCTTGACATATCAGTGAGTCAATTACTAGAGAAGTTGTCTGAAGTCCAAGTTCTGTGTTGGTTCCTCCTTTCTTATTAGTCTAAAGCTTAACATTTTGTTGGATTCTTCTACTTTCGTGTTCATGTGCCACCTAGGCATTTAGATGCACTGGAGATCTAATTTATGGACACCCCAAGAACCGTGATGTCCTTGCTAGCAAAGTTCTTGGTGAGGATCGGCAAATAGAACCTGCTCTCAATTCTATCCTCCGGATCATTTTAAGAACTTCTAGTCTGCAAGAGTTTGTAGCTGCTGATTATGTTTTCAAGACTTTCTGCGAGGTTGGACATACTGTCTTATATATTATAACTTGATAACCTGACCATGTCTAATGTGTGATTATAGATTCTCATATAACAAGTGGGGCTTGTTACTGCCACTGTTCTTGCGTGCATCTGTCTTTTAAACTCATGGAGTAATCTTTTCCAGAAAAATCCAGATGGCCAAACAATGCTAGCTTCAACTTTAATACCACAACCACATTCGGCTGCCCGGGATCCTCTTGAAGATGATGTTAATAACATGTCATTCGGAAGGTTGTGTCTTGCTCTTCTTTGTCCTTAAACATATATGGTTGGCTGGCCTATGTCTGACATATTCTCGTAGTTCTGTAATGATCGCGTCAACACTTCGGTGTCACAGCCTTTTAACTTGGTGTTTCCACCATTATAGAGGTAGTTGTTTGGTGTATAATCTGATTGGAGGTCTGTTTCTGTGAGACAGTATGCTATTACATGGTATTTGTTCGGGTGAAACTGATGGCGATCTTGAGGTATAATCGATGCCCTGTTGATATAGGTTCAGACATATCTCACAGAGCTTAACCTTATTTATTTTCAAACTCAGACATGTTGCAGAGCTGCTAGCGTGCTTTCTCATGTTCTGAAGGACAACATCCAATGCAAGGAGAAGGTAGGGACTTTTAAAGTCTCGATCAATTGATGTCTTTAAGTCCCATAAACACATTTCCCTTTACTCGCCACTGCTTAACTTCTCACACTCCACAGGCCCTAAAAATCGCGCTTGAATCATCTATGCCTTCCTTCGGAGCTCCGGAGCCTCTAATGCACAGGACTGTTAGATACCTGGCCGTAGCCTCGTCCATGAAAACCAAAGACGTGAAATCAAGCGCAACGGGAAAATCATATATTCAACAAATCATTCTGAAGCTGCTCGTCACTTGGACTGCAGATTGTCCAGCTGCAGTCCAGTGCTTTCTCGATTCACGTCCACACCTAACGTATCTGCTCGAACTGGTATCAGACCCAGCTGCAACGGTATGCATAAGGGGCTTGGCAGCTATTCTGTTGGGAGAAACCGTCGTTTATAACAAATTGAAGGAAAATGGCAAAGACGCTTTCGCCGTAGTTGATGCCATAAGCCAGAAGACGGGGCTCACATCATACTTTTCGAAGATTGATGAGATGCAGAAAATTTCCCTGTTCTCGTCATCCGAGAAGCCATCACAGTCTCATAAACCGTCAACAAGATCAGCAGCGTTTAGCACAGATGAGATCGAGGATGGGGATGAGGCAGGTGTGACGGATCACCCTATGCTCTCATCACTATTCGATGATAGCTTTGTAGGCTTGGTGAAGAGCCTTGAAGGCAACATAAGAGAGAGAATTGTAGATTTGTATGGTCGGCCGAAAAGCGAGGTGGCTTTAGTACCAGCAGAATTGGAGCAAAAGAGCGGAGAAAACGAGAAAGACTACATCTACCGCATGAAAGCCTTTATAGAGAAACAATGCTCTGAGATGCAGGTTCATCTTCTCTCTCTCTCTCTCTCTCTCTCTCTCTCTCTCTCTCTAGACAGATTCATAGCTGAAATAGAAGATGCAGCAGACAAGGAATGGGCAGCTGAGGAAGCCGCGGAAAAAGAAGAATATGGTAGAATAAGGTATTGGAACCGAGAAGAGTTCAATGGAAGAACAACAGGGTCTGATAGGCACAGATATGGACCCGATGATCGTAGCATTGGTGGATCCAGGGGTAGGAACGAAATGGATGCACGTAATTTGCCACTACATCACGAACCCTAGAATCTGTTAGAGTCCCAAAGTTTATGGAATGGGGTTATTTAAATAATATTTTAGGATATGTAGGGTAGGTTTATGTTAAATTTCCTTGAATTGTTACTTTCAATTGTGGGTTTATCAGAATCCAGTCTTAGATGGAATTTTATATCAATTTCCTATTATCCTGCGGGGAAGAAATATTCAAATATGTTTGTCTCAGGAAGTGGTAGACAATTGCTAGTCTCTCGCTCTCTCTCAGACACAGACACTTATTGTTGTTGCATTTTCCAGAACCTTCTTGCTCGGAATGCTACATTGGCGGAGGAGCTGGCAAGGGCTGGTGGGAGCCAAGCTTCCCAAGGATCAGAGCAAAGGGCAAGCACAGTAATGGAGAAGGTTCAAATGGAAACCCTAAGAAGAGATCTACAAGAAACAACACAGCGTCTGGAGACGATGAAGGTGGAGAAATCCAAGGCTGAGTCAGAAGCAACTAAGTACAAGAACATGGCAGAGAAATTCGAGTCAGATCTAAAGAGCCTGTCGGACGCATACAACAGCCTGGAAGAAGCGAATTACCGTCTCGAGAAAGTGAAAGGTGGAGAGCCGGTGGATGTCGAAGCCATAAAGGAAGAAGCGAGAGAGGAGAGCGAGGCCGAGCTGAATGACTTGCTGGTTTGCTTGGGACAGGAACAGAGTAAGGTGGAGAAGCTAACAGCGAGGCTTATGGAACTGGGAGAGGACGTTGACAAGCTCCTCGAGGGTGTCGGGGACGAGGCTGAGATTCCAAGTGACGACAAAGAAGAAGAAGAAGAAGAAGACTGATTTTTAAGATATATAATTTCAACGTCAATATCTCTCCGTCTCCTGAGGCGACCTCTACGTGTACTTTTGTACAGTTTGGTCATTGACGGCTGCTGCCTAGACGTTGTCTGATTTTCTGATTTAATTTATTCGATCAAACTGATGAGACCGTCGAACGGGGAACAAGTGTGCAATTATGTGCCTTGTTCCTTTATGGTTCCATGATAATAGGATCATCCATTCTCTGTAACGTGTGTGTTTTCATATGAAGATGGTGTCTTGTTCCCATTTTATGCGACAGAGCCTCCTTCTCTCAACACGACACCTAAAAGAAGGCAGCCCGCCATCCACGTGCCAGCAGCACACTCTTAATATTATACAGTTGAAGAAACCATCAACGCAGAGAGACGCCATTACATCTCTGGGCGAAAACCATATTGCCAATTCCAAGTACGGTTCATTTCCTTCTTCCACTCCACGCATTTCTCCCGCCGCTTCACACAGGTTCGCTACATCCCTTGTCATCGCTTCCGCCTTCGAAATTCTCAATCCATGTAATAATCAATCTTTTTCAACACAATCAAACGCCGTTTTCCCAAATGTAAACGACCGTGGAATCCGAAGACTCTTTTCTCTCTTCCGATTGATTTCTCGTGAACCAAGCAGCAAAGCCAAATTTTTTTTTAAAAAAATGAATAGATAAAACCATAGTTTTTTTTTTATAATCTGGAAGTTCACCGAACATTTGGTCCGACTATATCTCCCAGTCCCAGACGACCGGGGAAGGACCGGTGACATTCCCCACGCTTGGATTTGAACAAGGGGAGAGTATGTTCTCTCACCGCTCTTAGGGAGAAAACCATAGTTACCATGAAAAGGAGTTAAGCGAGCATAGACGGCCGCGCCGAAGCATCTTCCCCGCCTTGCTCTCGAGCTCCCGCTGAAGATGACTCCGAAAACGACGCCATTTTCTCCGCATTCCCCAGCCGTTCTCGCTACCGCGTTTGGAATCGTTCGGCCTTCCCTTGCATCGCGCTAAAAACTGTTCGGCAAAATCTCCACTGCTCGATCTCCCTCTGGTACCTGTTATTGTGAGCTTCAACAGGATTCTCCGCTTCCGCTCCCGCCGATTCCTCTTGTCCGCCTTGGGATCCACCTCCGGATCATCCGGTCTTGCAACTCGGCGGCGACCTAATCTCTGGCAACTCGGCCGCGCTTCCTTCTCTTTTATACGAAGCCTTCGTCATTGGAGAGCTCCCACTCTTCGTCGTAAGTGTCCACCGTAGCGGCCGCCGGCGGGGATGGTGGTGGTTCCATCGCCAGAAGAAAGCTCCGTCAGGAGTGGATTTCAGAAAGCGGGGGATCTCGTCTCGATGTTTTCGAAATGTCAATAAATCGGTTCTCCTTTTTCCCTTCAAATTTATAACAAAAAAAAATGTTTCTGTTATTATTGAAGGCCCGAAGAAGCCCGGCCCATAAGTCCGTCAGAACCATTTAGCTTCCCAAACAAGCCACGCGCCTAAATTTCCCATTTTATGAATTTAGCGCATTTCGGTGGGTTATAGCCCAGGGATTTCAAGGCGGTGACATCCACGCGCTATTTGTGCGCGTATCTTTGTGTTTATCAAAATTTATCTTTTTCTTGTTTTTGAGACTTTTTTTCTCACACTTCTGAATCAATTATACGAATACTTCATAATATTTACGATGAAGCAGCGTGACAGGGTTTAAGAGTTTATCACCGGACGCATCTGAACGCGGCGCCGTAGGATGCTTGATCTACGAATAATAAATTAGGAAAAGACCTTGAATTTTGAAAAAAATCTAAAAAACAAAAGCCTGAGATTTGCCCTAATTTTCCTGTTGTAACTAAAAGCTTAATTTTGTAGGAATCACGGCAAGAAGATCGAGATTCGAACAATCTAAGATATTTTCGGTTCTGGGTTGTTTCCTAACCTGCTCGTGTCGGAGATAAAGAAGCAGACGGGACGATGTCGCCACCGGACATTGGCGGCATCCTGGAGAACACGAAGGAGCTCGATCGGTTAAGGAAAGAACAAGAGGAAGTGCTTGTGCATATCAACAAGATGCATAAGAGGCTCCAGGCTGGTAAGTGTGTTTTGAAATTTCAGTCATAATGCATTGACCAAAGTTATGGGTTGATGCTTTGTAGCTGAAGATAATACGGATTGGATGATGGTACATTCATAACTCCAAACCCTCAGTTGAAGCTTCATTGCTAAAAATCAGCAACTTTCGTAATTGGAAAGCCTTTCTACTGCCTGTTTTGGCTTATTCTGTTTTTAGAAACTGAAACATCATTGGAGCATTGGTCCAACTTTCTAAAAATGAATCCTGATGAAGTAGGGATTAAGCTTCTGCTTACACATGAGTTCTGTATGAGCTTGTGATGGATCCCTTTGTTTTTTTGCTCTGCCCTTTCATGAATCGCCATGACCAGCAATGCTTTGCATTGGCTCATCTCCATGATTTTCTTCCAATGCTATGCAGCTCCTGGGATAGTTGAGAAACCTGGTGATACTTCATTGTCAAAGCTTAAAATTTTGTACATTCAGGCTAAAGATCTTTGGGAAAACGAAGTAACGTAAGCAATAAACTAGTTTATGGTTTTTTTTTTTTAATTTTCTTGCATTTGCCTTCACCCGACAAAGTTCTTTATTCGGGAAATCTTAATCTCTTTTGTGTTATAATACAGTGTATCGAACATTCTGCTTACTCAATTGGACGCCGTGCTTCCGTCTGGACCAACCGGACAGCAACACAGAAAAATAGGTACACAATAGATATGGTCCTTGACTATACATTCTAGTATTACGAGTCTACCTCAATATGATCATCTGAAATGTTACGGGCTACCTCCTGAAAAGTTAGCACTAGGGCTACATCTTTTTTTTCTCTCTGAGGAGGAGAAATCAAGATTCTGTTCCGGAGTGTGAACTTTTCTGACTATTTATTTAGTATAGACGAATTGAGAGTTCCGATATTTGTAATGATACCACGTAAGTGGCAGAAGGCACCGATCATAAGAGGAAGAGGATGAAAGTCGAATCAGATCCAACAAGGCTTTCTCCTTTCATGAGAAATCAAATTGAGGCTTATGCACGTCTAAAGGGTGAACAGGTACATACCCGATTCATCTTTCTCCATCAGTTGTTTTCTGTGACGAGGAAAGTTCATGCCCATCTCTGCTCAATGTAGGTGGCTGCAAGGGTCACAGCAGAAAACGCTGAGAATGACGAGTGGTTTGTTGTAAAAGTAATTCATTTCGATAGAGAAACGAAAGAGTAAGTCTCCCTTTATAAAATAAGCACATTTTCATATGTAAACGCCACAATGCATACTCATATCTGGGCCTGAAAGAGATTCAATTCTATCAGAGTGGAAGTACTCGATGAAGAACCGGGGGATGATGAAGAAGGAGGTGGGCAGAGGTGAGTTCTTAGTTCTTACCGGGAACTCCAGCTGTGCATTGGTACTGAATATTTGTCGAGCTTCCATTTTTGTTCTTTTCTAATCTGTAGGACGTATAAGCTATCGACGTCCCGTATTTTGCCGTTTCCGAAAAGGAACAACCCTTCTTGCGCCCAAGAATTTCCTCCGGGGCAACACGTCTTGGCTGTATATCCAGGGACAACAGCTCTCTACAAGGCAACTGTCATAAGTACCCCAAGAAAGGTCGGTTTTTATTACAGCAATTACAGCCAGTTTTTACTGTTTCAGCTTGAGAAACTAACAACCAGATACCAAACCTGCATGTCTCATGCGGCCAGAGGAAGTCTGACGAGTAAGTATCCCCTGCCCTCGCCTTCTGTGTTATTTACAACTTTATATTCCATTCTGTGCTTTTGCCGAACCGAAAATCACCTGCACTGACACAATCAAGGCCTTTAGCTGTCAGGACAGTATTCAAACCAAAACCCCATGTTGAGTTCGGAATAAACAAGCGTTGATTATCGAGAATATGATTGCGTACATCATGTAACAGAATTGTTCATCTGATTATTTATCAGGTACTTGCTTGAATTTGACGACGATGAGGAAGATGGAGCACTGCCTCAAAGAACAGTGCCCTTCCACAAAGTGGTGGCTCTACCAGAAGGCCATCGCCAGTAACAATGATGTCCCCAATTGACCATCGTTCTTTGTACATAAATCATACCCCCAAAAAAAGAATATCAGAGGATTTCACGTGTGCAGCAGGTTGCATATCTGACTGGAAGTTGCCGTCCGAAGATTTCAGGCAATTTGATGCTGCATTGAGACAAGTTCTAGAGAATGGGTATGTGGTTCAGGCTAATGCATGTGTCTCTCTGAGCTCAGAACTCGCAGGAGGCAGAGTTCTTGCCGTTGTGGTGTCGGGTGGATGACGATACTGGTAAATAAGCACAGAAATCATTCGCTTACCATCTTAACGAAGTTTCACTTAGTATCTGTGGCCTGTGCATGCAAATGTGCATATACATATACATATATACGATGTTGCACATCGTCGTTTTCGCAGATGGTGTTCCGCCCGAAACACCAGAACAGATCAATGGAACAGTGGACCTCAACAAAATTTAAAAATGATAAACAGATTCAGAATTCCACCAAAAACAGGGGGGAAAAAGGTTGTAAAATCAAACCGATCACGAACGGCTGCTTCAGAGGAGCCGGAGCTGAACGGGACCCCAGCTCACTGGTTACGCCGTCAAACGACTTTGTTCACAGTTTCAGATTTCGCCGTCATCATCAAACTGGTGAGCTATCTACACTACAGCAGCAAACGATCAAAAAACTAATTTGATAAACAAGCACTGTCTTACCTCTTCAACCGCTGACAAATACAGAGGCGATCTCTTCTTCTTCTTCGTTTCTCTCTCTAGATGAATACGTTTGAGTAGGTTCATAGCGTGGCGGGGGGGAGGGGAAGCCAAGAAATAAGCGGGAACCACCGTATGCCGCTTTTTCCATGAATCCTAAAAACGACGCCGTATAATGTGGGCCTCCAGGCCATTCCATTAGTTAGATCTCTGCTAAGCCCAATAAATATTTCAGGCCCATTTATATTATTGCGATCATTTTTTGGGACCACTAAACGACGCCGTGTAGTTCATCGGCCCACGAAGACTAGCACCAGCGTAGAGTATACTTTTGACTCAGCGAAACGACACCGTATTAAACGAGCTTTGGTTCGGTCATAGTAAGCTCTTTGGAAGAAAACTTGGTCTGAAACAATGCAAAGTCGGAAAATGGTCTGAAGTCATATTTGATACATCCTCAGAGACAGAAAAGGAGATCTGGAGCAAAGTGTGTAGACCAAGTTCATTCCTCCATTGCCTCCCCGACTTCGATAACCTCCACTCGCTCCGTCAATGGTGTGATTTTCGTCTGAAGAACCTCTGTTTTCAGTGGAAAAGAAGATTGAGAAAACGCCAACCGAAACACCCCGAATTCAAAGATTACAACTTTCAGGCACAAAGATGAACACCCATATGAAAAATTGGCAAGGGAATGGAGAGATAGCTCCGTACTACTTAGACATGACTTTCAAGGGCTAAGTTCATCTTTGGCACCTCAGGAAAAGGGTTTTTATCGGAAGACAATTCTAGTTTATGGGGATTGAAATGTGTTAAGAGCATAGCAAAGAGGAGGAGCATACCCGTTTTCTTGGAGAAGGTGTAACCCCTGCTGCTGATATACGTTCTTGGGTTTGGCATCATGTAATTCCTCAGGTATTCCTTGTGTCCCTGTAGCCCCCCGAGTTGCATTAGTTATCAATTTTTTACAAGTTTTTTCATATTTTATAACCCAAGAGATCGATTAGGTGGTGAATCCAACATTAGGTTTCGAGTTCAAAGAACAATTATTCGAACATCTTGATTGTCACAACATACCTTTGTGATCACGCAAATATCCACATTGCTTCCACTCCCCAGGTCATTGAATATACCCGAGCATATGGCCTCAGCAACCAACTTAATTCCTTCATCTCTCTGGAGGATTTTGACACAGAATCATCCATCAGACAGAACATAGAGAAGAAACTTGAGCAGTTAGAGATCATCTTCTTGGCTAACTTACTGTTAAACCTTCTTTGTACTTTGCCTCAAACACAGCCATCGCAGCAAGAGAGCCAGAACCCATCGTAGCAAACGGTAGAGTGTCAGTAGATCCATGCGGGTATATCTACAGATTAGCAAACGTGAAGTGAGTGACAGAATCTCGAACAATAAAATCTCTTCCGGGCCAAAATTCCTTTCATAGGGAGATCAAAACTCACGGTGTGCAGATGAGGCCCAGTAACATCAACTCCGCCCAGCACAAGAGCAGCTGAGACATGACCTTGGTAGCTGATCGGTACAAGGTCAGTCAAAAACCATAATGCTCCTCACAAATTATTACGCAAGTTTCCCGAGAAGATAGGAATGAGTTCAAATACCTGAAAAGGTGCCTTTTGAGAAGGGTCAAAGCAGTGATAACCCTAGACTCTCGGCCAGTCCGATACCTGTGCAACCGCAGCTGTGAGCTGACCATATCTGAACAGTGGAACACAAACCAAGGTTGCAATATCAGGTTATGTGATTTTTGTTAGCTTTTTTTATTTAAACAAATGTGGAGAGAGCAAGAACTAGAAGCAGGCACAGCATTTAGGACATCAGTATAGGAAATACCGGTTACTGCTTCAGTATCAGCAGCAGTTCCTGCACCACAGCAGTATATGTTTGGTGCCATGTAGTGAATCTTCTCACAGTTCTTATCGGCAACTATGGGCCCCTCGGTTGCCCGGGTATCAGCCCCAAGTATCACACCATCCTATACAAACCAGAAAACAACATCAACACCGCACATCGTGTACAATCATTTGCTAAAGAGAACAGCATCAACGCCGGAGGAACACCTAAGTTCACCTATATTCAACTAACTGATATATCCTGCGAAACTCGGCATCTCAGACCAAATTCACATAGATAAACTCCAACTCCAGTAACCAGTTATCAGTACCGATAATACAGAGGACATAATGTCGGAGACTCGGAGCAAAAACCCACCTGGAAAATCAGCCCAACGATGGTTGTCCCCGTCTTCAGGAACGAAGGAGCTTTAAGACCCTTCTGCACAAGCATCTCATTCCTCCTACACAGATCAAAGCTGAACCCACCCTTCGGCGGGACATCGATCGAAGACTGCGACATTTTTCAGTTTTACCAGTCTACAACATCAAAAGAAGCCCGAACATCAAATAACGACCAACGAAACGTACGAATTCACCATAATCACTTCGCAACAAAGGTGGATATTGATCCGGAATCCGCAGACCCAAAAGTGAAAATTACTAGTACATACTAAATCAAAATCCCGATAAAATAGAAATGAGTTATCCGGATCGAGTCCGCTAAGTCCACCGGAAGCCGAAATCCGGTCCGAATCTCGAGGACGGAAAATTAAGGGAGATGATAACAGAGAGAAAAAAAAAACAGCGAGAAGAAATACCAAAGCTTCTTCACCGGAGAGTGAATCGCCTCTGAATTGAATCGTCGAAGAAGAACACAAAAGCAAAGCAAGTGCAAAAGCTACAAGTTTTCTTCTCCCCCAATTAACATTGGAAAAGAATTTGCAAAATAGAGGGCCTAAAGTTAAGAAACTTATTCACTTTCGGTCCCTTGTTTTATCATATTTAATAAAAACGACTACATGACGATTTTGGATCATTTTAATCCACTGTTACAGAACGCCTACTGAACTATAGACTTCGAACACCAACGAAGTTCTAATTTCGCGTATAAAAAATTTTTGGTACCCTAACGATTATAAATGGTTTTTTGTTGATTTTCGACTTTCAGATCGATTTTAATTCCTGCTTGATCATGGACCATTCGATTTTAATTCAAAATTTGCTTATTTACTACAGAAAGAAGATCATTTTTGTTTCTGAGACTCAATTAGAAAGTAGGAAAAATTGCAGCATGGTTGGGACTTCAGAGATGAAACCGGTTTGGTATCCAGTTGATGAACCGGGACAAGATCCGGTACAACAACACAACTCTAACTCATAAGGAGATTTCAGAAGAAGAACCGCTGCTAGTCTGCTAGATATACCTTCTGACTCACATGCATGCTTAAGTACATGATTTGGGGAAAAACTGTCAGTGTTAACCAAAAAAGTTTTTTTTTTCTTAAACAGAACAGAGCCGCTTTTCCCAAAATGTAGGAGCTGAACTCCCTTGATGTCCAAATTTTACAGATACCAAAACTGAAGCCCTCAGATCCGTTTGTACAATGGCTTCACGAGACATGAAGGAAAGTGTCATCACCACCTCGGTATCAGTTACCTGTTATTAGTCTGTAGAAAAAAAGGCAAAACCATCAAACTCCAATGTGTGTGGAATTGCTTAACCATAAATTTCTTGCCCTATTTGCGCGAACTACGCAATGAGTTATCATCCTATCGATGAATCTGTGATGACAACAAATACCTTGATGATGAAGCTTTCGAAAGATTCAGAATGCAGATCACGGCATTTGAATTGATATGAACAAGACTACACATCTTCATTACATCCTTAATGAACGAGTTTCTACAATATCATATAGGGCTCCTATAACACACTTTTCCTCACCTAAATTACCAACACAGAGAAGCACTCGAAAATATCGTTGAAATTTACCGTGTCTGTTATACCGAACCCCCAAATACCATCTCTTATTTAGATATTATAATTAATACGTGAAAAAGATTGGTTTTCTAGAGCTAGAAACCTAAGAAAACCTGTGGGTAAAATCGTTTTATCAAAATTACTCCAAGAAAATGTGCCAAGAAAATATCTACTAACTTGTTTCATGGATAAGTCCAACCAAAAAAGAGGTTACCTTATTTACTTTAGATTGAAAAAAAGCAAAGCTTGACAAGCAAAATTGAATCATCTAGCTTTAAGCCTTAGGAAACCCAAGTTTCATCTTCTCTTTCGTATAACTTATAGAGGGAGTCCGGATGGAACACATTTACCGTGTCCCCTTTGTGGGCTGCCAGTCTTTGGGCACTCTTAACCGCTTGAACGTAGAAATGCAACCTCCAGAGCATTATATTGTCCTGAAACATATTAATTTAAATGGTATTATGTTCTATATATATAATGAACTACTAAAGTAGATCTCTTGTAGATTTCAGTATCTTACCCCCTGCTCCAGGTCAACTAAAACCTCATTAGAGAAATCTTTCCCACTAGCTAAATAATGGTTTTGGGTGATTTCAGCAACACGGTCAAGATTTCCCGCAGGTAACTCCTTAATTGATTTCTGAAGATCTCTCTTTTCAGCGCGGGTCATAGGTCTGTGATTTAGAGTTAGCAACTTAAAAATAAACAGTTTATCAAAAAACTTAAAACTAAACATCTGCAAAGATCGGAATCTATACTGGCACACGCACACACATGAATGATCATGGAAGTATCGATTCATTGAACTTAAAATGGCAGGATGTAAAAAGCTAGAATATACTCTTGCCTATGCAACAGAAATTACCTGCAAGCAGTCATCACATTGTCAAGTAGTTTCTCGAGTTCCTGCTCCATACTGTCCAGCTTGCCAAAAGCAAAAGAAAACGTAAACATTTCAATTTAGACAGGTTGTGGATGAGCTAATAGGATAATGGTTTCCACAGTACAAAATTCATTTTGAACTAGAAATTGTGCTGAGCATTGATTGTCTATTAAGTGAAATATAGGAAGTTTGTTAGAGCATTACTTTGGCAAGTAGTTCACTGGAATAATTGCTCACTGTTTCCTCGAGAAGCTTGCTATCAGAAGCCAGAAGTAATTCAATATCCTGCACTCAAAGAAACAAATATGATGGCCAAAAGGAAACTACAGAGGCGTATATCAAAAGGAAATTGCACACAGAATATTTTTTTACCAATAACAAATAGAACCCCTTGTTTACATGCTAGAGCCTCTCAACCTATCCAGAAACCATACACCCAAGGAAAATATCATCTCACCTCTCCACTTGTGACATCTTCAGAAATAAGCGAGGATGGGGCAGTTTTGTTTCTGAGCTGAGATTGAAGTAAGTACAAGGAGCGAACAGGCTCCAGCATCTGAGAATGAATCGAATCACAAAAGCTCGCCGTTAAATCTAAAGCCCATGAAATACGGAATATGACAAACGATGTATAATTTCAGAGTACCTCATCAGCCTCTTGATTCAAATCCTTCACACACTGCTTAAGTAATGCATTCAATTTTTCTCTTCTGAGATGTGACATCTCAGCTCCTATAGTGTCAGCAGAAAGCTGTTCTTTGGCTTGTGGATCATGAAATGGGGTATCGTCTTCAGAGAAGAGCGCCGCAGCTTGAGATCGGTAGTAACTAAACAAGTTTGGTACACCCCTATTGCTCTCAGTTGAACCAGTCATTTCCTATGCTCCTATCGACAATTTGGATAGACACTTAATCAAATCCATCAAAAGAAATAATATATAAGCACCAACAAAGGTAGAACTCAAACACAGATCAAAATCAACATTGCAAAACAATAAGGAACGCGTAGCAGAGAAAGCATTCTGGATACGGTAACAGCTTGTTTGTTATCACTTAGGACCAGGCCATATGACCAAAAGACTTCCTATTGCATCTAACGAAAGCACATAAAACTTCCTGAAACACAGTATGCCCAGGAATCTAAGAAAGAATTTCGACATATCCACAAACAAAAAAATGAGAAACAACTCCACACTTCTTGTCTGAAGCCAGATATTTTGGGGATCATCGCAGGAATACACCATGAACTGTGAAAGAGACCCAGTTCCAAGTCGTGAGGGGTGAAAAGTGCCCCTGAAAACTACTGCAGAAATAATTGAACTCTAACTTACAATATACCGCAATGATTATGCCTCCTATACAAGGCAAAAAATGTTTGATCATATAGTAAGAGTAAATACAACGATCCCAGTTTTATTCAATTTGGAGTTTATAAAACCCTAAATCCTAACAAACACAGCATTTATCCTCAGTTCCATGCGTCGGAAAAGACTCGAAATCTGCTAAGATACATGAAATCTTCTCAGTATATCACAAAATTTTCCAGAACAAAGTACGGGAAGTTGGGAACAGAACCGATTCACCAGATAATCAACCAAGAAACTCACGAACATTCTAGGATTTGGAACTTGCATCGACCTCTCTATAAGGATATGCCAAAGAAACACGAAACGAGACGAGCGATTTTCATTAACCCTTGACAAAAACCACAATTCCCGTTTGATTGCGGAGAAAACGACAGAATAAGGGGGGAAAAGGACGATGGAAACCCAGCAGAAGATCGAGAGTCCGAAGCTAACCGGCGGAGGCGAATATCAGCGTCGGCGGACAACTGAACCGTCGAAGGCGATGGAATCGTCACTGAAGGACGCAATGAAAGCGATTACGAACAATCAATACAACTTTTCTTTATTTCTTTGATTAGTTTTTGTGGCGGCAGCAAAGCGTGCGCCCTTTTGATTCATACGGCCGCAAAGTTTTTTTTTTTTTTTTTTTTTTTTAGGGGCTAAAAAGGATTCAGATAAACGCATATTTGGTATTTTCCCCAGATTTGCTTCTAAGTTCTAATGCCAAGTTTTTTTTTTTTTTTTTTTTTTTTAAGGGACTAAACACAATTTGTCACTAAAGTAATACCAATCCCCTCCCCTTACATATTATATTGACATCACCAACATATTCTGTCGAGAATGGTAAAATAATAATAATAATGATTTATGATGATATTGTTTGGTGCTTTCCATGTTTTTCAAATTGAATAAAAAGTTGAAAACATTTCTAATATTTTTATATAAACTCGGCATTTCCGCTGTAATGTCTTCCAATTGAGTAATAATGGAAATAGTAACACATTGCAAATTATCACTAAAACCCGGTTCAATTTCAGTATTACAGGTGCCGGTTCATGACATGAAAACCACCTTTTCACATAAAAACGGATTTACACACGTTACATCCGGACATCTAGTACATTGAAAACGGCCGAAATATTAAAAAATTTTGTGTAAATTTTTAAGGGAAAACACAAAATCTCGATATAGAAAAGCTATATTTCTATCAATTCTCTTCCAAAACACGAATTTTGATCCTCGCTCTTCCGCATATAACAGACCTTGGAATGGATGGATGTTAGAGACAGAAGGTGAGACCGATGGATGGAACGGCCACATCGGACCGCTCGTAGATTTATGGTCACATGTTCTGTATTTCTAACCAAAAAAAAAAATAGAACCATTTAAGAAAAAAGACATGGACCCGAAGAGACCGGTCAACCAAACTTTGGTCAAACCCCCCAACAAAATTTCAAAGGCCTATAAATTCTCATCCACTTTACCATTCCCATCGGCACACCAAAGTCAAATCATCGTCTCGGTTTGAGATTATTAAATAATTTGTAATAATCACACACTATAAATTACAGCGCTATAAATATGGGTCACAACCACAAGCTTATCTTACTCGCCGTCGCGGCGTTGGCGGTTTCCGCCGTCTTTGCCGCCAACTCTACCTCTCCGGCCGCCGCACCCAAGGCCACCTCTCCGTCCTCCGCCACCGCTCCTTCTCCCACTCCCACCGGAAAATCATCCTTATCCTCCATGGCCGGTGGACTCACCAACACTATTGCCGGAAAAATCAACTCCGTCACCGCACCAACCCCTTCTCCGGCATCCCCAGGTAACAAAATCACGTCTTCTAGTCCGACCAGTTCTCCGTCCTCGGGAAGCGGCGGAGTCGCCACGTCACCGAAATCATCGTCCTCTTCCTCCTCCTCACCGGCTTCTAGTCCTGAAAGTTCCGGCGATGATTACTCGGAAGACCCGACGTCGTCCTCGTCAGAAGCTCCCATGGCCTCGTCCCCGCCAGCTCCGACGCCGGATATGGGCCCCACGGCCGCCGACGGACCAACCGCAGATGCGCCTGCCAGCTTGAGATCGGTAGTAACCGCCACCGCCGTTGTTTTAGCCGCGGTCACGAGGTTCATGTTCGTGTGAATGGACGGAACGTGCAGTGCATGCATGCAAGCCCATGCAGTTACGAAATTTTGGGTTCCTATTAAACGATATATAACACGCACATACACATGTTAGTTTTTTCTTATATGTATATTCGGCATTTTTTTTTTAGAATATTCATGTGTGCATGTCACACTTGATAGGATTGATATAATCAATCACTAGTAATTAATTATCTTCGATGTTAATTATATTTCTTTTTTACAAATGTAATCATACGTTTTGTGTGTGTGTGTATACATATACAATACGATGATTAATGAACACGTAATTGTAACAGACATGATTCCCAAAAAATCTTATGGATATTTGTTCTTTGGGCCCTCAAATTTAATATTAATCCAGTGGATGCAAATTATATACAGGGCATCGGAATCCAAAAGAAACGTTTGTGTTGATGATATGATGCGATTACGATTCGAATTTAGCTTGAGACATCTAAAAACCTTATTATTATGGGAATTATTAATTATACAAATAAAAATAAAAATATTATTTAAAATAGAAATCTAAAAATGATACTAGTTATTTATTATAGTTAGAAAATTAATAAGTGAAAATAATTAATGTAAGAATATTCTCTGCCATAGAGATAACGCCACGTGGTAGATTGTTCCGCACCGTCCTGAGGCGACCACGCTGCCTTTGGTCAGTGGTGGTTATCCACTGTGATGACCCCACGTCAGTATCTACAATGTACGGTCAAGATGTTCTTACGCTGCTTGTGTGGTGTCCACAGTTCAAGAGATCTACGGCTCTCGTCACTTAGATGGACCCTGTGACCTGTGTACACGTAGATGCTCTCGTGTGTGTATATACATGTGTCCCCTTTTTGCTAAATTCTGATTAGTGGAAATAAATTAACTCCGATTAGATAATAATTTATAACGAAATTATTTTCGGCTTTCAAAAATCCTTATCGTGTTCTTCGTTCTCTCTTGCCGTCTCCGAGAAAATGGCGTCCGGTTCGATTGGGAGGGCTGTTGGAACGAAGCCGGCGAGGTTATCCGCGGCGGCGCGTCTGATTCAGTCGCGGTGGATGGCGTCGGAAACGGAGGCGCAAAAGGTTGAACCGAAGGCCGCGACCGGCGGAGGAGGATCTAAGATGAAGACTTTCCAGATCTACCGATGGAACCCGGATAATCCCTCGAAGCCTCAGCTTGAGGATTATCAGATCGATCTCAAGGAGTGTGGCCCGATGGTTCTCGATGCGCTGATTAAGATTAAGAACGAGATCGATCCATCGATCACTTTCCGTCGCTCGTGCCGGGAAGGGATCTGCGGTTCGTGCGCGATGAACATCGACGGATGCAACGGTCTCGCGTGCCTCACGAAGATTGAATCTGGATCGTCGCCGACGACCATCACGCCGTTGCCGCATATGTTCGTGATTAAGGATCTGGTTGTGGATATGACGAACTTCTACAACCAGTACAAGAGTATCGAACCGTGGTTGAAGAGGAAGAGCCCGCCGGAGGTTCCTGGGAAGGAGATTTTGCAGAGCAAGAAGGACAGGGCTAAGCTTGACGGGATGTATGAGTGTATTCTGTGCGCTTGCTGCAGCACATCCTGCCCTAGCTACTGGTGGAATCCTGAGTCCTACCTCGGCCCCGCCGCTTTACTTCACGCCAATAGGTCTGTTCATGGATTGCGTAAAAAGGGTTTCTTTATGACTCGAGTTCCCGTGCTAATCATTTGCTTGAGAGCCTTGGCTGATTTATATGACCTCTGATTGATTAGTGAATTGATTGTGGAAAACAAAGAAAGTTGGCTAATATGCCAAATATTTGTCTAGGAGTGATAGACAAGGATCGGTTTGCAAGTTGTAGGACTAGAAATGGTGGGCTTTGCTCGAGAACTAAGGATTTTGTTTATATAAGTTCACTTATTCACTGGAATAATAGGGTTTTCCATATGGATTATTGTCGCAAAGATGCTGGATTTCTGGTCCAGACAGAGCAATGGTCTTTATGAGGCATTGTATCTCACTGGCTTAAAAGATGTTGATGGGTTCTGCTTTTGTTCTTGTTTACTTTTGTTTTGTCCCTTCAGTGTGAAGGAACGTTCAAAACTTACCCCCCCATCCCTTTTTCAAAACCAACTAGTTTCATGATTTTGAATGGGCAGCTAAAGAATGTGAAATAAGGCATCATTAACATCAGTTAAAAGTGTTGGAAATATAAAATTGACCCATGGAATTTTGGGTTTTGGACTTCATATTAGTTTGAGCTCATTGATGGATATGAGCTAATTAAGTTTGAATGTCCATTGGTGTTCATGGTAAACCATCTTTCCTTACCCTATAAATATAGGATCTTGATTCACATTTTTCATCCATCAGAAAAATTATCAAAGTAAGGGGGAAAGGAGAGAAAAACCGATTTACCGACCTGTTCTTCAAAGTTATTCCGCTGCAAAATGGATTCAGGTATAATTCTTATTCAATATGTATATTAATTTCGAATTGTGTGAATTATGCAAAAACCGTATCCAGTTTTTGGTGAGTTTTCATAAAGTTATCGAAAACCATCAATATAAAGTTTTTACAAAAAGTTCTAACCTTTCAGTGTGTAGTAGTAATTTGTTTATCTTTCATTGTATGCAGGTGGATAAGCGACAGCCGTGATGAGTACACTAAGGAAAGACTGGATGCTATCAACGACGAGTTCAAGCTGTACCGTTGCCATACTATATTGAACTGTGCCCGTGCCTGTCCAAAGGGATTGAACCCAGGCAAGCAGATCGCACACATCAAGCAACTTCAACTGTCTTGAATTCATGTTGGGAACTCACCACCATTCGCAATGCTTCAAGCTAATAATCTGTAAGGAGTTGCAATCTCATCCATTCTTGTATTGCTGCTGTTGCGGTCATTAGCGCCCAAACGTTTGCATTTTCCTCCGCATAGAGATGTGTTCTGTTGGTGTACTTTGCTGAAAATTTCTTGCAGCTAAGCAATAAAACCTGGTAATATCCCCCCCTACATAGTACTTACTCTTCTATGCTTTGCTGAGTATTGTCTTTATAAAAACATTTGCATGCTTGCAACCGACCAAGGCCAAGGTCAAGGCAAAAGGGGAATTGAAGCTAAGATCATGGGGATGATGGTTGGTAATAACGATGATGGGATGAGAATTTGTGACGTGGGTATCGAGATTTGGTCATGTGGGTATTGAAACTGGAGAAGAAGGATGGCGTTTGGGTGAAGATATGAAGATTATTGATATGTAATCCGTGAAACATTAAAGAAAAGTGGCTCCTACTTCTTCACTGAACATGAAATTACAAAGCCCCCGGAAGGTTGAGAGAGAGAGAGGAAGCCTAAAACTTTCAGACAATTTTTATTTAACTGATACTCGACAAGGTTACAGACAAGTAGTGCACATAAAAATTAAAAAAAAGCTTCCAAGGATCAAAGGAACCAACCAAAGCAGGGCAGAATTTAGCTTTCAGTCTCTGTTTTGTCTGGAAAATATCAGAATCATCTTCTTCTTGGAGGTGGATCACGGATCAGACCGTGTTTTTTCAGCGTCTTTATGTAGTTTCTCATGAGGGCAAACTTGTTGCTCCCGAGCTCGTGGAAGTAATCCCACGGGTATATCCCCGTCCTGTGCAGATCATCGAAAACTAACCTGAACCACAAAAATTAGCCTCCAATCAAAAGTTACGAATGAACGAGAAGACGGGAAATACCACATCCTAGGCATGCACGGCACTACTATCTCGTGGAATTTGTAAGTACCTTACCCCATAGTTTCCCACTGGCTCTGCAGACATGATGCCCACATATCGCCGTCCAGCTATCACCTGATTAAGAAACAATGTGTGTAACTACTAACTACAAGTGAAGAAATGACATCACCCGAATGTAACTGGCCAGAAGAACAACAAACAAGTACTCGTGATATTTGCTTAGTTGATGAAATATGCAAAAAGCCCAAGAAAACAACAAGACTCAATACTGTAATATATCCTCCTCATCCCCAAAAGTTACATCCTTGTAGTTCTTATTCTTTCAAGACGGCATTTTTTTCCCAGTACGCGTCTAGCAACGCTTAAGTAAGTCATACGAACAACACGTTAGCATCATAGGTCAGTTGGTCAAGAAACAAAAGCTTGTCACTCAATGTTAGTGCAGCCTGATCTGCAGAAATCACATCCTTGCATTAGAAAATATGGCATTTTCATCAAAAAAATCGGCCCAGCTAGTAGTCATAATATCAACTGAACACTGTAAATGAGTTCCCACACTGCAGTAAACAAGCTCTGGAATGGACCTCTTCAAGCTATCTCATTTTCTAACTTCTCCGAAATTATGTTACCGAACTATGCCTACTAGCGCTTACCCGTCATTATTGCGAAAAATGTACATAAATTCCAGAGAGTCCGCACTCGTGGGACATAACATTGCGAAACCAGTCTAGTCATTGGACACAGGAATCATGAAAAGATAAATACCTTCTCGCCTCCAATTGATCTGACCTTGCCGTCAGCAGCTGGACTGTGGATCCTCAGAAACTCAGCAGAAAAAATGAACTTGCTCCCATCTGCATACTCCACCTCCACCTTTAAACAAAAGACTCAACACATCAGATTCCAACGATATCCCAAAAATCACCGCAAAAGAAAAACATGGGTTCTTGTTGGGATTCAGAAATCTGTATTAGTTTTTGCAGATATGTAACTTAGCTTTATAGCTCTAAGCACAAATCATCATGCGCTTCAGTAAATACTAAAATCTATCTACACAGAATCAACACAATCAAATCAATATATTGGAGCAGCAGATAAAGAAACCCCATAATCCAACACTTGAATAAACGCCGAACAGGAAAGCTGGACAAAAATTGGATTCCTCGATTTCAGAATACAGAAAAAAGGATGCGAACAAAATGGGAGTCGATAAAATCTATCAGTTTGTTAGCTAATTCGTCACGAAATACGACCAATTATATAACTAATCCAACAAATAAGCCAACAAAACAACGAATTGCAGAAAACTGAAGCATGAGAAGCCGATGCAGAAGAGAAAGGGAGGAAAGGTTAAAAGGGACAAAACCCCCCCACAAATAAAAAGGAAACTTACGTTCTTGGGCGACACTACAGAGAAGCTTGAGAGTTTTGGAACAGTAACATCAACTATTCCATGGATTCTCCTGCAAATTGTCCTCTGAATCGCCCACATTTCTTCTCCGGTAACCACCGGGCGAAGAAGACGACAACGACGAGGACGATCGCGATTTCGAGCCTGACAAACTCGAAATGTTTTGGGCTGGGCTTTTGTACAGATATGTTTCTTCTCGATGACTGAAACGACGA